TAAAAAGGCGCATTATGTATTTCATAAATATAGGTGATCTGCTGGTTGGCATCTCAACCACTACTGGAATATCAATTTTAGAAGTTTAATATAATGTTTTGGATACAATGGGATTGTCTAAATAATGTTTTGGATAGTACTTTTACTTCAGCAGCACTGTTTTTCTACACATGCAAGAGGTCAGTGGCGAAAATGTCAAGCTGACTGACGTCCAATCTTGCATCTATGCTATAAAAAGGCAAGAGATCAAAATTGAGGGATTAGTTTTGATAATGATAAACTTTATGATTAATACCATGCCCTAATTTTATGTTTCTTTTCATTCTGAGTTTGCTCTTGTAAGACAAGCTTAATTTTTCAATGATTTCAGGTAAATGAGGCTAAGAAGAACAATAAGAAATAAGAAGAAGAAACAGAGAATTACCTAAATAAAATCTGAAAATTTCATTGATCAAAGGAAGTAATCAGCAATGAATACAAAATACGTTTTTATACTTTGATCTTTACTAAGATGTAGCCTAGAGAAATGAAAACACCGAACAAAATCGGATCAGGGCACAAAAAACATAAGAAAGTTTTCTGTGCTCTAAAACTAAAGAAACAAAAAAAAAAAACAATAGCAACCAAGTGACCGTTGGCTTAAGAGAAAATAACCAAAACGACAAATCATAAAGAGTGTTTAAAAAGAAAAATTAAAACACTAAGTAAATGACGCTAATGGTCATCGTTTTACAAACTTGAAATACTTAGCATTCCACTACGACATCGTTTCACTTTGCCTTGAACCTTCTTTCAACCTTCAGCTTCTTCAGTTGCTTCCCGCCATTCTTTAGCAAATGACTTCTCCAGATTGAAGGTTACTTTCCTAACACTCCCCCATGATCTGAAATTTAGAGCACCCCAAGAAGAGTTTTAAGTGTTTCAAACCTTTCCCTGAACAAACTTGAATATCCCATAACTAAATTAAATAAAATACAACCCCAAACGCTCTTGTGTCAAAACTTCATAGGTAAATTACACTGCAATAACAAACACCTTGCCATATCTGCAATTGTTCTGTTCTTCCTTTCAGCCTTGCCATTTTGCTGTGGACTATAAATTACTATTAATTGATGGTGAATCCCAATTGTTGCCAAAAGCTTCTCAAATTCATTTGAAGTGCACTCAGCCCCATTGTCTATCCTTATCACCTTAATGCTTAAGCTAGCAAAGTTCTCAACTTGTGCTTTGAACTCAAAAAAACCTTTATAGCTTCTGATTTATTCTTCAGAAAATAAATCCAACAGTAATTAGAGAAATCATCAATGAACAGGATATAATACATGCTTCCACTCAATGAAGGATTCTTTATAGGACCACTCAGGTCAGTATGAACTAGCTCCAACCTCTTTGTGGCTCTCCAACTACATTCCTTAGGAAAAGATTTCCTAATTTGCTTTATCACCTGACAGATGTCACATAACTTCTCTGGTTTGACAATGTCAGGCAAACCTATCACAAGTTTCTTTGAAGTCATTGTTAACAGTGAATTATAATTCACATGACCAACACGTTTATGCCATAATTCAAAGTCTTTCTCAGCATATAGAGCTAGTTGTTTACTGTCTAACAGTTTCATGGGATAACACTTGTTTCTCATACTCACTGTTAATAACTCAACACCAGTTGAATTAAATATTGTGCATTGTCTATTTTTAAACAGTAAGGCATAATCATTTTCATCTAATTGACTTACACTAAGTAGGTTCTGATCAGCTTCAGGTACAAAATGCACTTCATAAATAAACTTCATACCAGAAACAGTTTTCACTCCTGTAGTGCCTACTCTAAGTATGTTCATGTAAAGACCATTACTTATTTTCACATGAGCCTTATAACTCTTATCAAGCTCAATGAAAAGATTGACATTACCTGTCAAATGGTTTAAGCAGCCATTGTCAATCAACCAAGTGCACTTCTCAACAGCCTTATCATCTGACTTAGCCATAAACAGTACCTCTTCTGATTCATCAGCTTCTTCAGTCACTACAACCTTGCCCTCAGCATCCTGTTTCTTGGCTTTGCACACCTTCTCCACATGTCCAAGTTGATTATAAGCTCAACACTTCACATTAGGGCTGCATCAACAGTACTTTGAAGTATGATTAGCCTTTTTACAGTGAGTACAAGAAGGATATTTGTCATGATTCTTTCCTTGCTTTGCAGAACTAAACTTAGTGCCTTTGGCATTATTCTTCTTTGAGGTTTCAACTTAACTCTTAAACTCTTACTTTTTGCTACTAAGGCATTTTTAACATAGTCTTCATTCTTAAGGGCTTTTCTCTGCTTAAAAGCTAATAGAGTATAGATCAATTTCCTCATTGAGATTTTAGTCAAATCCTTTGAAACCTCAAGTGAAGTCCTTTAATTCAAACTTGTTTGACATACTCACCAAAATCTTATTGACCATCCTCTGATCAGTGACTTCTTGTCTTAGCATTCTGAGCTGATTTTCCAGTTTCAACATCTTATCCATATACTCTTGAATACCCTTATTTTCCTTCATCTTCATCACCTTGAACTGTCTTGATAGATTCATAACCTGCATCATCTTGGTTCTATCATTCTCTTGATATTCTTCTCTGATATTGTCCCACACTTGCTTAAGATCCTCCAGATGCATAATCTTCTCAAATATTGATTCTGACACAGCTAACTGTAGGCTAATCAAAGCCTTATATCTTTTTGCAACTTCCTCCGAGTTTTGCTTAATCTGGGCTAAGGTTGGATTCACATGCCTTTGAACAGGCTCTCACCGGACTCCATCACATCCCATAAGTCAAATGACTTGAGATATTATCTCATTTTTATTGTCCAAAAGGGGTAATTAGCATCAATGAACATAAGAGGTGTAGCTGCACTAAATCCAAATGTAGCCATGTTGAATGTTGAAAATGCTCTGATCAAAAATTGTATTATAGGCCCCTGGAGAAAAAGAGCTCTGATACCATATAAGACAAGCTTAATTTTTTAATGATTTCAAGTAAATAAGGCTAAAAAAAAGAATAAGAAAGAAAAAAAAAAGAAACAACGTATTAATTAAAGAAAATCTAGAAATGTCATTAATCAAAGGAAGTAATCAGCAATGAATACAAAATACATTTTATACTTAGATCTTTCCTAAGATGTAGCCTAGAGAAATGAAAACACCCAATAAAATGGGATCAAGGAACAGAAAACGTAAGAAAGTTTTTTGTGCTGTAACAACTAAAGAAATAAAAAAGAAAAAAAAACAATAACAATCAGATGACCGCTGGCTTAAGCGAAAATAACCAAAACGACACTTATGAAAAACATTTAACAAGAAAAATTAAAATACTAAGTAAACGACACTGATGGTCATCATTTTACAAACTTGAAATACTTAGCATTCCACTACCACATCGTTCACTTGGCAACCTTCTTCCAACCTTCTGCTTCTTTAGTTGCTCCCCGCCATTCTTCAGCAAATGACTTCTCCAGATTGAAGGTCACTTTCCTAACAGCTCTTTCCTTCCTCATATCCAAGTTTCTGTCCCAAGAGTTGGAATGCTGTTAAAGATTTCTAGAAAATGAACGAAGTTGAACTGCTATGTTTGAGTTTGGCAGCAAAAGGTTTTGAAGCTTGAATTCATATGTCAACTCCGTCTGCTTTTGGTGCCATTGATTATCTTTTCCTTATATGAGACATTCTTGAAAAAGCTCTTTTCTCATCTGTTCCCTTTACCTTTAAAGGCACAAACTGTAGAAAATTTTAACCTTTGGTTGCCTACCATTGCTGAAGAGGTCACAGGTATTAGCTAACCAGCAGAATTCAAGAATAATAAAGTTGAAAAACTTTTACAGATCTTAAGAAATTTGGGACTATTAAAAGATGAGGTTAGCTCTGTAAGATTCATCTACTTGGAATTGGTGATAGAACTTTGAATTGGAACCTGTTCATTCAAGTGCTTTTTTAACCCTTTTCTTTTCTTTTGTAAATGAGCTATGGGGGTTTTGCTGGAAGTGTTTCAGCTGTGGTCCATAACATGGATGGCTTGGAGTTTTGGTCAGACATTATTCTGATGTTCAAATTAATACAGAAAGATTTTTAGATTGTTTAGTGGGAGTCAGGCATGTGAGGCTGGGCCAATTCGAGTGGCAGTGCTGCTGAAAACAAGGGTGAGGTTATTCAGAACTAGAAATTGGATGAGACAGGTTTTGTGGTAGCTGCTGCTGCTGCCATTGTATTATTCACTGGAAAGACCTGCACCTTTTACTCCCATTAGAGGACAGCGCCACAAACTCGATTTGTTGGATTTATGTGATATCAGTTGAATTCAAATATCCACTGCCGAGTAGCCATGTGCCGTGACTCTGGAAGAGACTATGCAGAATTAGGACAAAAAGGTTTAGAGATAAAACAGCTGGACGGTGGAAATACTAGTCTTTCCGCCGAATCAGACAAACTGTGACATACCATGGAGATAGGATCGTGACAACTGAAGTGCAAAGGTGAAAGTGGGGAAATACTCTTACTCTTAGCAAAAAAAAAAATGTCTGAAAATGGAAACTAATTTAACAGAGGAGTAATTGGAAACTAAAACCAGCCTAATGCAGACTCCAGTTATTATTTACAAGACAGTGGGGTTCATACCTGTCCATTTCTGGTTAGTGAATTCTGCTCTTTCTCAGTGCATCATATAATTCATCTGTTAAATGAACTCAAGAAATCAATTTTCCAAAAAAAAAAACAGAAAGGGCTCCGTGGTAGGGATGTATTCTTATTAAGGGTTTAATTCGGTAAGAATTACCACTAGCATTTAAATTAGTAATGATTTCAATTTTGTTTGGACTAATTCAGATAATAACCACATTTTCAATCAAAAGAAGGGAAATGGTTTTATCATTGTAGAATTGAAATCTAGCAAAGACAACCAAAAAAAAAAAACCCAGACCAAACATTAAGGTCTAGTTCAATTAATTTTTCCATTTTCTCCATTTTGTTATCACAACCCTTCTCCATGGGTTTTGAAACAAATGAGTAAACATTGCTAAGGCAAGAACCAGAAGCCATTAAATTCTTATCTGTTATGTCACTAAAACACTGCAACTCATGTCTTCCCTTGAAGAGAAGAGATTTTTTGTTTCATTCTTTATTTAAGGAAACCAACTTTTCAAATCTCTCTAAATCACTATTGTTCTGTAAAGTATCAAATATTTTGCTGTATGTTACAACATTTACATACACTCTCAAAAGATGAGAAGGAATTTGAATGAACTACAACTTATCATCCTCTAACAAATAGGTCCCGGCCATGATCAGACCCTCCGATAGTACCTCTTTAGAATCAAGAGTTGAGATTATTTCTTTCATTTCTTTAACTGGCCAGACCTTCTAGGCTTTTAGTTCAGGCTACGAATCGATGCCTTGCAGTGCTTGTGACGGTTGAATAAACTCATTAACTTGTGATTAAGGATTGCTAAGAGGGTTCACCAATGTTTCATCCAGGGACGAAATAATAGAGGTATATTCTATCAAAGTTGAACAGAATGAACTGTCAAGGAGGGAGCAAAATATAGCAATACTAAAAATTCAATGGATAGGAAAAGTATTGAAATTCCAACTCCTGCCAGCATTTAAAAGTTAACTGAGTATATGATTTGCAGAAGTTTAATTACCACAGTGATCCTCATTGGAATTTTATTAACTCAAGGCATTCCATTTTTAAGTGGTTGAAGGATTTAGTGATTACAGTGTCAGATGAATTTGCAAAAATTTCATTGGGGATGACAAGAGGCAAGAAAGATACCATAATGCTTCTAGGACATAAGAGAAGTATAATTGCCCAGGGCTAGCTTTGAGAATGTCAAAGAGTTTACCATACCTGAACTCTTTATGAGTCGCTGCAATGAGAAAGAAGCAAGCACCCTTTCCTCAAGTGCTTGGTTGTAATTTGAGGATTCTAGCAACTGTGGCACAAGTATGGAGCATGCCATGGACTGGAAATCTTTATCTCCAACTGAATGGAGAAAGCTGCTCATCCAGGAAACAGTTAAGAGGCTAGCTCGTGCTAAACTAGGAATGCCCTTGGCCATAGAATTTGAAAGAGAGGCCAAGAATCTCTTGTTGCCACTGTTTAGCAAAGCAATTGCTGCTTTTCTTTGCCAATGTTCTATTGCTTCCTCCTCTTCATGCTAGTGATTATAGATACAAAAGGAACAAATATTAGAATAGAAAGAATATATTTAAGAAGACTCTATTTAGCAACTGTAACTCTACAAGAATTTCAATTTCAGCTAGAAAAATTCCTGCTACTACACATATTTAGAATAGCAAAGGATTTGACTAGAGTTTGATCATTTTGATTTAGAATTGATATTAAATGGTTATGGAACTCGGGCTGTAATCCTATCCAAAAAACCTACATCAAGGATAGAACCTAGAAGAATATGTTTAATCTAAATCAGCTAAAGATTGGTTGCAGGTTGAATCAGTGATTTAGAAGGACAAAGTAATTTATGAATATGAAATTGTAGTTAGCTTCACAATGTTTTATATCATGAAGTTGGTAATGAATCAGCAAAGGTCCATCTTGACTGACTCTAGCCAGAGCACTAGAATGTGATTCTTTGGTAGATATTGACAAGGAACATCTTTTCCGTGCTTTTTCTTTTTCTTTTTTTTCAATCTTCAGTTAATTTATTTTCAGGCAAGTAATTTATTACTGGTTTAAAACAATGGCAAGCTTACCAAGATGTCATCAACTATTTCCTTACTGTGAAATGAATCCTCTAACTTTTCATGAAAGCCTGCTTGTTGCAAAAGCCAATTTTCTGTTGTTGCCTCTCCCATGCAAGAAAACCGGCCTCCCAGCATCATGAGAGCTCTAGCGGAGTGTTCTTGAATCTTTTCATTACATTTTTCACAATCTAAAGCTTCTATAATTGCCTCCACTGCTTCTTCTCTGTAGACACTGCATCTCAAAGGATCTCCCTGTAAAATGACTGTAATCCATGATTTCTGAAATCCAAATATTGCATGATCTGATACTTTTTTTTTTTTTTTGGATCCAATATGCAACATTGGTTCCTGAGGAAACTGAAATTAATGGAAGAAGATTCAATAACTCATGGCTACCATTTCTTTCATTACTTGGTAAACATAAGGCATTGGTCCATGCATATATGCTGTGAATGGCAATGAAATTAATTAATTACCAGAAGGTCAAGCTGTAATAAGATGGCTGCAACCAGGGGCCGTTCTTCTGGTAGAACTCTCTGCAGGCATGCTAATAAGATGTGCATGGAATTCAAGCCTCCCCATCCATTCATCAGATCATTTAAGAATTTTGTTATCTGTGTTCTTCTGTTAAGATTCCTTAGGTCATCAGGTTATGTGTTTGAAACTCTGGAACTAATCAGAAAATCATGGTAAATTGAAAGCGGATTGGTACCTGTTTAGGCAGAGTAGCTCAGCTAGTAAGGCAACGACAGTACCATTAGAACCATTGCGGTTCACAACAATAAGTTCAATTAGAGATGCCTTGTTCAATTTATCAGCTAAGTAGTTTCGACAGCTTCCATCCGCTCGAATGCAGTAGGATACGATCAAGGCGGCATTATTCCTCTCAAGTACACTGCCTATCTCAAAATTTCTTATCAGGAGGCTCAATCCCCCAAGCGAAACTACTTGAGTAGCATTCTCTAAGTTCCTATCTTCATTAAAACCTGTTAAAAGTTGGTCTAGGAAGTAAAATGCTGCGACTTGAGGGCTGCGCCTTACTGTAAATAGAGTCTGCAACTGCTCTCCAAACTCTAAAACTCTAAGAACTAACGGAACCCACTCAGTCGATATCATCTGTTTTGCCTTTGGCTTTAACAAGTAAAGCAGCACAGCAGCCTTTAAAAATAGACTACTATTTCTTAATAGTCTTAAGAAGATCTCAAGCTGTGGATCTGAGTTAAGTATTATCTGCCGATTCACCTCATTCCTAGCTACAAATTCTGCTAAAATTGATATTGCTAATTCTAGAATTTCATCGTCACTGGAAGCAAACAAAACCTCAAGGATTCCCTCGATAACAGGTGCCTTTGCTAATGCAGTTTCTATGGCAGGATCAGCATGTGACTCCAACCATGCTTTGGTCATTACCCGGATTGCAATTTCACAGTCACTTAGACTATCTGAAGAGCAAATAGTAGCAATGGCTTTACTTAGATCACTCAAAGGAAGACGGACCTTTTCCTCCTTTGTCGTTGAATTATTTCTGACAACGCTTTTTCCATTTACCAAGCATTCTGTCGGCCCAGTTTGGCAGGTAAACAGCCTAAAATGATCTGATTTCCGTGTCTCAGTCCATGATTCAGTTTTAGGAGTTCTAGAAATCTGGCTTGATGACCTTCTACGTGTCTTCGTCTTGTTCTGTCAAATTCAGAAACATAAATGATACTCTCCATTCTAACAATAGCTTAAATAAAAAAGTTGAAGTTTTCATAGAGAGACAGAAATACCCACATGAACATAATTGCAACCGTTGTAGTATTCATCATCTGTACATTCATTTTCTTCTTCCTCGAGTCGACATATATCCATTGATGCTCTGATTCGATGATCAAGCTCCATGGATTGTCGCTCAGTTGTGGCACCAAACACAGCTCGATATCTTGTGAACATTTAGGAAATTAAGAAAACGGGATAAAAATGAACTAATCATGATTAAGTTCTCGAATGCTTAACATAAAATGATTAAAAGTATCCAAATTAACAATTAACTTACAGGTTTTTGTTGATAGAAGAATGTGAAGCATAAGAATCAAATGATCTCCTTCTTGATGATCTATAACTGGGACTTGATGGCAAAGGCACTGTAGGAACTGCCGGGGCTTTGGCCCCAATTTTTAGCCACTCTTTATAGTACATAGCAAACTTAACTGTTCCCATATCGATTTGGTCATCATAGAGCTTGCTTAAAGCTTTCATTCTCTTCTCTTTCTCACCATATTCCAAGTTGGAGAGAAATTCAAGCTCTTTGTGGTACCAAACTTTAAGGTGAAGAAGATGGGGAAGGAAAAAGTGCTCCCATAGATCAGGAAGCAGGTGGGTTCTAGCTAGAAAGGCTGAATCACAAAAAACTTGAAGCAAATGCCTGGCGGAAATCCTATCATTCTTCTCGAGCTTGTAAACTATAGATAAGTATAACTGAGCACATGCTGAAAGATGAGAATTGGGAACTCCGCAAGTTGAACCATCCCTTGATTTCTTAGAATTCAAGGAAGCGACGATGCTCAAAAGCCTAATCGAATTCCTCAATGATTTCATTCTGAGTTCCTTTTTGTTCCCACGATTCTCCACTAACTTGTCTATGCTCTCAATACCAAGTTCCATATTCACAAAAATCCCATTATCCGAACCATTCTTTCTCCTCACTAAGCAAGAGTTGCACTTTTCTTTGATCATCTCACGAAAACTCTCATCTTTAATATACCTACCAACGTAGCCACCGAGTATAGATATTACAGCTCTAATGGCAACGTCATCGATTGCAGGCTCATCTCTATTTGAAGGACCATCTTTTATCAATGATTTAGATTTTGATCTATCTGAATTCGACAACCTCCTAGATGAAAACACTGAGGACCCATTTGGGATAACAGTCTTCTCAGCCTTGTGCTTGGATTTTCCCAAGCTTTTTCGATCATGGCAGATGTACATAGGCAGTGCTACGGACTCATCTGGTGCTCTACTTGTGTTTCTAAGCCTGACCTCTCTAGGATTCTTCAATGACTTCCCTCTCTCAAATCCTTCTTCCGTAAGCAATTCTTGTAAAGAAGAAGCCATTTCTCGGAGGATATTCAAGCTTGGTTCTGAAGAAGCAAAGAATGGAGAGTCTGTAAAGCTTCACTGACATTCTTTCAAGAACCCAAAATTTAGAAGATAACAAAGGGACAGCTACAGAAGAAAAGAAAGCGCAAAAATGAGGCACAGGAAAGACATGGAAATGAGGACAACCAGACTTAGTGGTGGTGATTTTGTTTTTGTCCCTTTTCGACCGTTAAAACTACTTTATTTATAACCCTGAATGAACAGAAAATTACACAGAGGGCGGACCAGGCCGGTTTAATCCAGTTAAAAGCAGTTAAACTTCCCGCCAAAAGGGTTCAGTTCTGTTGAACCGGATTTGAGGGGGATTGAAAACATACTAGTATAAGAAAGGACATTTGATCAGATGTCTGAATCTAATTAAATTCAAAGACTAATAGGCCAGCGAGACAAATGGTATCAAACAAGAAAACAGCATATTTTGGAAATGGAACGCATGTGATCTGCTTATGTGAACTGGTCCCCACCTGATAATCACCCTATTTGAGGCTTCAAGATTCCCATGCAAAGCAACTGTTTGATATTGATTTCATAATGATGGAGATTTATCTGCTGCAGTTCATCACCCCCAAATAACTATGGGTTCCATCAGGAAAAGTTTATTTTAACTTGCTTGCCTTCTTAACCTTAGCCTATCAAATTATTTTATATTAATCATGCCTTACTTAGATTAAGTTTATGCCATGATTAAAATCCCTTGGAGATATTGTTCAAAGCTACATGTTTTATACCTGCAAACTTAGTAATAAAATATAATTACTTATAAGTTTAATAGAACAAAATTCGAAATTTGAATTCTATTTGAGGATCGTATTTTTATCCATAAAGAGAAACGCAAACAGTTCTGCTTATTTTCTCAATGCACAAATGGAAAGAAAGGATTGATGGCTTTAGACAAAGTATAGTCCATAACCAGATTAATTCGACAGTGGGATGGACCAGCACATTAAGAAGAGAAATTTTTTTTTTCTTTTTGCCATGTTTGTGACGGACTATATATGGTGCAAAACAACCCATATGCTAGATCATTTGAATTTGGAGCGTTGGATGGTGACCTATCAACTTTATGGAAAGGGATATGATTCACGAGACGATGGATATTTCCAAGGGATTATTTGTCTGTTAACCCTTGTTTACAAGCCTTGCATGTTGCCCTAAAAAAGCATGCAACCTTTTGACGATATTTGAGAAGAAGAAAAACCAATGATTCAGGTATGCGATTAACGAATAACTTAAAAGGGTAAGGGTGGGCAGAGATTTGCCCTACCATGCATTCTATAATTAAGCTAAGCCTAGGAGAAGCTTGGAAAAAAACAACTTATTTAAGGAGAGAGAGGGCAAGAGTTTGCCAGTCTTGTGCTAGCTAGGAAGATAATTTTTAAGAATCTTTTTTAACGCTTTGTGGACTTTGTCCACTATCTTTCCCCTCCTCTCATTTCTCAATGTCATTGTCTTTGTTTCTTTGCAACTTGGCCTCTTTTGTCTCCCATTTTTCACCCCAGTTTGCATGAGAGAGGGATAAAAATTGTTTTACATGGGTGGTAAACAATCATGTTAATAATCGATTTGGAATTAATTTTGCTTTATTTCTGAATGACTCCAAACAAACGTTTAGGAAAACAAGAAATCTATAATTAGGAAATAATGTACTACAAATCGTTTGTGTTGTTTTTTTTGGGGGGGGGG